TATTTACTTTTATCGTTAGTCTGCGATGAAAATTGTATTAATTATTAGCAATTGAAGAAAACGGCCATTTTCGACAATTTTTGAGCTCTTGCGCATAAACAAATTATCGGAATTGAATCGGACTTGTCTTATTTTACAGATTTATTTAATACCTACCTTTTTGTATAAACCTTTTTTCTCCACGAATAACAGTTTTTTTATGTCAGTCAAAAAAACACTTTTCCATAACTTTGACCATTGTTTTAACAAAGTTTCCCAACTAGTCTCGAGTTGATTTTTTGATATTTTGTTTATAACATGTTTCCGAACAATATTCCGCAGATAAACTTCTAATAGTATTTTTTCCCGAAAAAAAGCTATAATGACTGGCCTATTTGTTAAAATAAATTTAACTATTAAAAACCTGTGTAAGTTGTCATGTTGATTGTTACTTACCTGTCACGACCAACCTAAAATGTGCGAAACAAATGGAAACATCATTTTAAGGAAAAGGAAATGTTTATTCGTAAATAAAATAAAATCCACTGGGTTTAGGTATAGGGAAACTTTAACAAAGTTACACTTAATTTTAGTGCAAAAGTTAAAAAAATTAGGGCTTTCCATTTAAAAATTTCAAGTTTTCCACATTTTCTGAACTTCATATTCGATAAAAAAAATTTTGACCACCCTGTATAGAAACTGGAAAATTTTCATGTCAAATTCGATAAATTAGGTCTTCCTCTACAAAATGTCCAATTTGCACAAAAAAAAAATAAATATTGCCGAAAGCCTGCATCTGTCAATTTTTGCTTAAAAATCAAAATATCTCGGAAACGGTCAATCCTAAGTATGGAGTGTGCTATATCTTTTCAACTTAAAAATAGATGTTCTTTCCAAAAATGCAATAATATACCGGGGGTTCCATTTAAAATAAGAAAGTTAGTATCGACTTCCGGTATAACCAGAAGTACGATGACCTTGAAAATATTTTAGCTTGGTAGGCCCCACGGTCCGTACCACACCATCACAATTTCAAAAAAAACTTCTAACGGTTTCCCAGATATCCATCTATAGAGTTCGTGGTGGGACACCCTGTATATATCATACGCAATCAATACAGTTCTTGTCATACTAATGTGCATGACATCTTACAATTAGTCAAAAATTAACTTCGGCAGTCGTCTTGCAACTTTGTCATAAACTACTTGTTACAGCCATCCACTGACCTTCATTAAGAAAAGTGCAATCTATCTGGCTTCCAAGCGTCTGGAGATCTGGGTAATTGGCAAAACTGCCCGCTCTGAGGGGTCACATAGCCGTACTCGCTGTCCCACTAGGCTTTCCAAGACCCGCCGAACGTTAATGGATTTATGATACAAATCGGGACATTCGTATTCATGTATTTAAATGTATGCTCGTATATTCAAGTCGTGTGCTCTCAGAAAAATGTACCCACGTTTGTGTGTCGTCGACAGCCAGCCGTACGCTGCAACCTGACGGTAAAATACTAAATTCAGAGAGGAATTGTCTCGGTGCTTCTGAATAGAACTACATCTTTATCTTAAAATGTTTGCATAACGCCTTTGCGGCTTCGCAGGAGCCTAAGGCCATAAAATGGTAAATCGGACGGTGAAATCTTGACGTTTTTTTCTGGACCAAATTCTTCGACGGCAAAGGCACGCTGCAATTTGAATTTAGCACGTTTTTCCAGTTGGATAAATGCGAAATGATTGTAAAGTAATAACAATTTTATAGATTTTTCTTTAAATAAATTGTGATACCAATCATTCTTTTTTATTTTACTTTTTATGTGAGGTTAAAATTAACTTGATAAAAATTTGTTGGTCCTCCTTTGAAAGATTCTTCCACTGCTCCGATTTTCTAAGTGGGACACGCTGTATATGAATTTTCTGAAGCAAAGTTGACCTCTGACCAGTCATTTTTTTGAAAATCCATATACTAGATGTTCTACAGGATTGACCCAGGTCCGAAATTACGGCCAATTTTTTTTCTTTTCACTTTTAACTTTATCTTTATTTACTAACGTCTTTTAATTAAAATTTGTATAATTTATTAACCAGATGTCTTTTTGAATCTTTATACTGGATGTTCCACAATACTGACGCAGATAAAAATTACGAATACAACGAAACTTTCCGTATTGTTTTTTTTCCATTTCCATATTTTGTACTGAAGTCTGTGCAATATTTTTATGAAAAATCTTATACCCTACCAACCAGGTGTTTTTTGCAATTTATGTACAGGATGTTTCATAAAACTTACACAGGTGGACTAGATTTTTCCTTATTCATTTTTTAAATTTTTTCTTTCATTCATTTGAAAAAAGGTCGCTTTTTTACAAATCCATATACTTACTAGATGTTCCACAGAATTGACCCAGGTCTGAATTACGCAGTATTTTTTCATTTCACTTTTAACTTTGTCTTTATTTACTAGGTACAGTCTTAATGAAAATTTGTATATTTATGAACCAGTCTTAGCTTATCTTTTTACCATTTTTGCCTTACCTACGTAGTCTTTGGATGAAAAATTTTATATTTACTAACCAGATACCTTTTTTGGAAGTTTATACTGGATTTTCCACAAAATTATCCACTTCAGGGTTAAGGACAAAGCGAAACTTTTCTTAATCTTTTCTCGAGCGGGGCCTACTCTTTTTGAAAAACGTTCTCATCAAACTTTTATATACAGGGTGTTTAAGAACCAAAGTACAGGGTGTTCAAAAAATGTTATATCTACTAACCAGCGAGACCCGAAGGCCGAAGGCCCGAGAGAAAGGTCAAACTCCGCGTCAGCGGAGTTTGCCTGCCTTTCTAGTATTATTTTAAAATTGCAACTTTTATTTTGCAAATTTTTTCGTAGTACCGATTTACCAGAGCTAGGAATAAATCGGTCTTCAACGAGACTCCCTATACACCGTCGACATCGAAAGTGGCACCGCGCTGCCCCTCTAACAACGTACGCCTATTGGATAAACCGCAAGACTCTACGCCGCAGCGGCGCCGCTCCTCGTTCCTTGCAAAGCCGGATGTGTATATGGCTAGACTGGACTGCTAAACCAGCGTCGTGTATCTCCGACATCGCGTTCCTCGCGACGTAAACAACAGAGCCGGCTTCAGCGGATCGGAGATAAGTTGCATTTTAAGTCAATTAAACCACATTTTGTTTTGAAGCAGAACAGGGTGTTCAACAAGCTCTATGACAAACAATATAATTTCATATCTCAATCAAAGTAGTGACAAATAAAAATGATGGTTGCTATGACAATAATTATTATTTATATTTAAAGTTTAAACACAAACACACTATAAAAAACATATCTTTAAAATAGTTGCGGTAATAACTTAATGTAAGAGAGATACTGGCTAGCAAACAATGAAATTTATTGTTTTTTTGGAAGTTTGGGACTAAAAATTAATTTTTGACATACTACTTGACTACCCCAAACACTCTTATGGAACAAGTTTCATTGCAATATCTTGAAAGAAGACGGAGTTTATTTCCTCATAAGAAATCAAGGCTTCTTTGAAATAATAACTGAGTTTCTCCCAAAATTATTTTTAAATTGACGTAATTTTTTACATTGTTCATATTTCTTCAAATGGGTGGTGGTTCATTAAATATAAATCATAAGAAAGGCACATTATTATACCCGGAGAGTACGCAGTTTAGTTATTAATTTGGTACGTCAAATAACTAGAGTCCGTCTCTGTCGTAACGGACGCGACTAGCGCTCTTGCTCCCAAGCGCCTCTCCGGTATGCGACGACCCGCCGTAGCGGAGCGTGCGCGGTGCTACGAGACGCACACGTACATACCACAACGCTGCGGTTTCGCCTTCTAAAACCAGGAGACCGACCGGATGGCGACAAACAGTGTACTGCAGCGTGGCAACGCGTCTGCAGTCATCGCGTTGACGACACGTACAAGACTTGTATGCCACCATGGGTTTCCAAGACAGCCTTATTGTCGCTGTTAGAAATAACCCCGTGATTTTCGACAAGACCATGTCGAACTACAAAAACCTAAACGCCCGGGAAATAGCCTGGAAGGCGGTGGGCAAGGAACTCAAAGTGAAAGGTATGTTACGTTATTTCAGATTTAATAGCACTACGCTTTTATAGTATTTTCTCACTTATATTTACTAAGTTTAGTTAGTTTGTTGGTGGAAGACGGGTTGAGGGTGATCGCAACTAAGGTCCGGCGGTAAATCGTACATTACAGGTCCGTACTTTGTTTGAACGGTACAATTATTCGCAGAAGCTTAATTTTGAACACAAAAATGATGGGTAGGAAAATAGCTCATACATTTTTATCGAATAATAAAAAATCAAGAATAAAATAAAATAGTTGAAATTGTCATTACTTAGGATTTACGTCACTGTTGTAAATTTACTTTTTAGTTTTAAATTGCTAAGATGGATCAAGGTTCAATTAAAAAAATAGAAAGTTATACAAAGTTATTCTCCTATGGTTCTCCAATCAACGAACAAAGGTAAAGCGGTATTGTCAAATCTACCAAGCCAATTACAAATACTGCTATTTTATAAAATTAATTAATACCGCGGAATATTGAAATAACTATAATTGACTGCTCCAATAATGTATAGTTAACTCATCGATAATAATTAAAAAGGACCCCGCACAAACCTTATGGGAAATGGCTCCCGGTTAAATTGGCTGAACTTTTTATATGTTACGTATCTCGGCGTCCTGAAGAAATGTCTTCATGGGCGTAAAGTCCGACAAACTCCACGGGTTTCGAGATAAACCCACCTAACCCCTAGAAACCACCCCTACCAAACCAGAAGCCTGGGAACAGCGAGTTTACATAGTCGCTTATTTTTCTTGAAATAATTTAATTCCATACCACAAGGGGGCTAACCCGCCTACCCCCTAACCCACGTAGCCCTTAGAAACCACCCCTACCAAACCACAAGCAGACCCTTGGAACAGCGAGTTTAATTGTTTATTTTTCTTGAAATTATTAAATTCCACGCCACAAGGGGGCTAACCTACCTACCCCCTAACCCACGTAGCCCTTAGAAACCACCCCTACCAAACCACAAGTAAGCTAACCCACCTGACACTGCGAATAGTGAGTTTAATCGCTTATTTTTCTTGAAATAATTAAATTCCACACTACAAGGGGGCTAACCCGCCTACCCCCTAACCTACGTAGCCCTTAGAAGCCACCTCTGCCAAACTACCAGTACCTAGGCTAACCCACCTGACCCTGAGAACAGTTCTATCAGTTCTAATCGACTAAACTCGCTGTTCCCAGGGTTAGGTGAGTTAGCCTGATCGTGGTTTGGCGGGGTGGTTTCTAGGGGTTAGGTGGGATAGGGGGTAGGCGGGTTAGCATGCTTGTGGTATGGAATTTAATTATTTCAAGAAGAATAAGCGGCTAAACTTGTTGTTCCCAGCTTGTGGTTTGGTAGGGGTTGTTTCTAGGGGTTAGGTGAGTTTATCTCGAAACCCGTGGGGTTTTGGATTTTGCACCCATAATAACATTTGTTCAGGACGCCGAGATACGTAACATATAAAAAAAATCAGCCAATTTAACCAGGAGCCATTTCCCATAAGGTTTGCGCGGGGTCCTTTATTGACAGAACAGGATCAGTTGTAGAATACCAATGTTTAAAATCTTATCAGTCGTATAACCATAGGCGTAGTTAGGAGGGTAGGTGTGTGCACGGCCCACCCCAGAAAGCCCTGTTATATCCCATTCTTGTATCATAAATGATTTTAAGGTCGTGGAATATATCATATTATTGTACAAATATGTTATTCTAACTTACACACAAATGCCTTATTTAGCTAAATGATATGACAACAAAAATACCATCTAAAAAAATAGTTTTATCTCTCTTTAATAGGGTCTTAACAAAAAAACTGCTGACCTGGTATTGTCCTTTAGGCTAGTTTTAAATTATAAGTGGATACAAAACCATGCATGCTATCGGAGATAATATTAAATACAGTATAATTTGAAACATCACTAAAACTAGGTTATCTGCAGCGAAGATAAGCTCTAAGTTATCGCTATTTTCAGATGTATTGATGCTGAAACGGCGTTGGCGCACCCTACGCGATGCGTTCATCAAACAGTACCGCCTGTATAAATTATACGAATCCGGACAGACCCGCCAACAGAAAAGAAGGAAATGGGGATACTACGACCAAATGCTCTTTCTAGCGCCTCACATTGAATCTAAAAGGCCAGCCGACAGCAGTTACCAGGAAGAATCCTTGAACTACCAATACTCCCAGATGGCCAACTTAGACCTAGGGGATGAGTCCGCCAACATGGACTTCCACGAGGTAGAAAACTTTTCCGGTCAGAGCTCCAATCAAGCGGAAACTGATTTTAGGAAATATGACTATCCCGTTGGTGACGGTTCCAAGCAACAGTACTTTGCTCCGGACGGAGACAAGCAGACCCAGTTGGTGGTCGTTCCAAAACAAGATGCAGACGAACAGTTCATGTTGAGCTGCGTGCCTATTTTAAAGCGCTTGTCCACCAGGAATAATATGCTGGCCAGGATGCAGATACAGAGTTTGCTGTTTAATTTGGAGTTTGGCGATAACGCTGATGTTCCCGCTCAACGTTCTGATGGCGCTGCTGGGCACGCAGCACAGGCTGTAAAATGCGAAACAGTTGAGGTGTCGCCCCAGTCACCTACAGTGAAGAACGCGGTTGTTTTTACCAATGCTTCGAAGAACACGCCCGACAATAGCCAGCTGATACCCTCAAAAGTCACTGATACAAGTCCTTAAATGAAAATAATTATGTTTATCTGTATGTAACGATAATAAATGTATATTTTTGAATTTGACAGTTTTTTACTGAACACCTCCAAAGTCTTCGAATAACTGAACTCTATGAAGTGCAATTTGTGCAGAAAAAAGAAACAAGGGTTTTGAAATTCTAGGAAAACCCCCGTTATTTTTAAGAGTTTAGAAAAGTTTATTTAATTCAGTTAAAATAAACTCAGCAAAAAAATTAAGGGAGTAGAAAAATTTCCAAATTTTTTACGTAAACTTCGTAAATGATGGTCCTATCGAGAAAAAAAAGCATATTGAAGCTTGAAAATTCTAATTTTGAAATCTTGAGATGAAAAATACTTTTGAGCATGACTCTCGGCGCAATTAAATGAAATAATGCAAGGCAAAATTTTTTTCACGCATCGTGATATTCAAAGAAAAAACCAAAAATGACGTCCACATATAATTAATACAAAAATACCTGATATATTGAAATTGTCAATAATGTAATCTTTAAATAAATATCATGTATTCTTGCTGTCCTATTATCGCCCTTGACAAATACTGACAAAGTAAAAAACAGCTACTACAAAGAGATTTCTTTGTTTCCACAGCTTGCTTAGAACTGTTAAAACTGTATTACAATCCGATCTCTAAAGAATCATAGGTCTTTAACGATTGTTTTCATGTATTTATTCAAAAGACTTTTGTTTCTATTTTCTAAGCGCCATTAACAAAAAAGTGACATATTTATCGTGCTTGGAACACTTTCTTTTTTTTTCGTTCTATATAGCAATTGTAACCATATAATTAAATGATATCTCTACAAAAGGTAGATTATTTAAAAAAAAATGAAATGCGTAACTTAGTAGATTAAATTCTGTGAGGCATGGTGGTCTGGTAAGTGTTGTGTAACGAAGAACGGTACACGGAGACGAGTCACTTGAGCTTTACGTATTGTCGCCTAAGTTGACCTTATGAGTACCGTTTCCAGTATTCACCTCAATTTTAATAGGCCAGTCATACACGGCCGTGAATGCTGAAAATGTCGAGATTGTAGATATTTTATCTAAACTAGCTACAGAATAAAATACGCTAGTGAGTTTTTTGACCAGTATCCTGTAATTTGTACAGGACAAAAGAACTAGCTTTTCGATTTAAAACTTGTAACTTTATTTTTTATTTTCATACAACTTCCCAACCCAATACGAAATTTAAAAAAATGTGTTATATTTGTATTAAAAAAGGTTATAGTAGGATCATATTCGATGCAAAGTAATAAATCATTGCCTGCCAAGGTATCCAGTGCAGTACGGTTTTAGGGGGTTTAGAAATTGAATAATTTCTTTATGCATTATGAAGAGATGAAGGGATCAGTTCACGTCTGACACCCCTGTCCCTTCAAATATTCCTTTATTCTCGTAGACTATATATTTTAAATGTAATTTATTATAAATCCAATTTGTTTTTTAAATCCCACATATGTACTACATTTTACCCCTGTACGCGCCACTGTTGTTCACTTGTTTTTGGAGACGGTCTCTGATTTATGACCAAGCGCGCCAGGTTAGTATTTGATGTATAACCGACCAGTTCGTACACTCGATGCACCTGGGCGACTTCAGCTACTACCAGAACACAATGCGTATAATGCGGTATTTCAGATTTTACATTCAACTTCATTTTAAATTGGAAATGGTTCATTTTACGCGTCCTAAAAATGGTGACACGATTTTCCTTTGATAAAAGACCTACAATTTTTTGCTCTACTTTGCATCGAATACGATCCTACTATAGCGGTTTAAATTTAATAAAATGTAATCAGACCTATGCGCCATTATTCCATGGCTAGAAATTGGCCTCAATGATTTGGGATCGAGGGGGATTATCCCTCTTTATCCTGCCTCATCTCGTGTAGGCCTGGACAGCCTTCGTAGGTGGGCCCCATCCGTCGTCTACCCCGACCGCAAATGCGGCCGGTGTAGGCGCTTGGTGGGACCTCCTTTTGTCCTGGCTGGGCCCCGCCGGCTAGGGCCCTTTCTTCTTTTCTTCTGAGACCAATGGAACACGCGGTATAATATATTAATTTTTTTATGTAGAATCTACGACGTTCTGTGATTTCACACTGTACCAAAAATAGTATGCAAATTTGTCACAGAAAAAAATTACTAAGACTTATCTGACTGTCAACTGTCAAATTTTGTATAACTGAAAAAGTACCTCAAAGACTACAGCGAAAAAGTATATTAAACGTTTACACAATTCGCGTTCTTGACTATAATTCGTACAGAAAATACGACCGACTAGTTTTGCCACATACTACCAACAAATTGTATTTAATAAGTCGCATTTAACTTTACATTTACAGGTAACAAGTGTAGATAAATAAGAAATTTTGACACTACATTATTTTTTTTCAAATCTATTTATTACAATTAGGCTTAGTGCGACGCGGAGTTTAACAGGACCGTAGTCAGATTACGAATGAAAATATTAACATGTTTACAGAAAATATGTCGCAACATAGTACTGTTACCAAAGAGCAAGGCTAAGTAGAGGATAAAATACCTATATGTGACAATTAAAACCAACTAGTATAATGTAATAAAGGCAAAAAAGCCACAAATGGACCGAAAAGTACTTTCTCAATGTTAGATTTATCTCAGCATTTTTTGAGAAATTTCTGTAAAGGATTTTAGATAAAAACACAATATATTGTAATATTTAGAATTTCAACACATAATCATTACAAAATTTATAGTAACAAATGTTTCAGTTCATTAGCCACCTGGATGACCTGACCTTAATCCTTTAGTTCCATATTTTCAAATCACGCAGAAAATTAAAAATCATATATCCTTACAGTTAATTCAAGTACGTTTCTGTCAGATAAAACGACTCCTAGCTAATAATTCATAAAAAGCTCTGCGATGACCCATATAAATAAACAATTTTAAATGTATTAGAGAAAGGACAGCATCAGTATTCGCCTTATGTTACACGGGCTGATCCGTTATTCCGCGGACATTTGTTAGATTCAAGATAAAATGTAGAAAATGATCTTAAAACGGACAGACCATTATACGCTCGTTTGTTTTCCCGAAACGTACCAAACAGCACCGGTAGAATCTGTTTGTCAATGCGGCTGTATAATATTCACATAAACTTGAGCGGAATAGAAAAATCGCATCATTCTGGATCCCCAGCCAGGAAGCTACTAAAAAATAACTGGATATTCTGGATGTATTTTTGAATTCATGAACTGATGACGGTGCTTCAAAGATCGATAGGTTTCCTAAAAACCATCATTTAGTTTCAGGTAGAGTGCATGCCATTAATGATATCGTAAGACTGTTTACTACACATTGCGGGTGTAATTAAATGCTGATTGGAGTGTTAGTCGGCAGAGTAGTTGTGTTCCAAAATAATATTACTTAACACTTCTTTATTAAATGAATCTTAGTGCTTGTACAAGTACATTTTTGCATTGTTGAAAGTGACTCTCGAAATTAACATTTTGTCCCCACGAAACAACGCTCTCCTGAAATTCCATCCTATCCGTGCACTCCTTCTTGACGCTGTACACGTTAAATAATAACCCGAACCTTATCTACAGCAGGGAGATACTCCAGTTGGGATTTAATTGGTGGTTAATGTGAGCCTTATTTCATTACTGTGTCGAGCAAAAGGAGCAAGAGATAGCAGCTACCTAAATTTGCAGGCGCCTGATTTCGCTAGTGCCGTCCTTGGAATATAACATTGCTTAATTTATTGTTTTTTATGCGATAACGCAATCTGGAAAACTTCCACAAACTAAAACTGGAATCAAAGTATCAAACCAAAAAAAAAGGGTTAGTTATTTTATCCGTGCTATGCGGTGCAGCCTTTGGCAATAATGATCTAGGTTAGTGGGCTGGAGTACGCCTCGTCTTTTAACTTAATTACAATAAAACATGCAACCTTTGACTTTGGTGGCCTGACTTGTAGCTTACTATTGTAATTGCCTCACTTATATCTGAGCACGATCGAACATTAATATGCTGGAAGAGCTAGCTGAGCCCGTGCGGCATCATAAACTTCTAATGACAAATCGCGGAATGGATTTGTTTTATTGGTCTCTAAACTCAATTCCACCGCGCTAAGTCAGTGCCTTGTTGAAGCACTATCGACTAGATTAGCTGGACAACGTATCATGAGTCTCTCTGGGTATTTATGTAGATAGTGTAGGTAGAAACAAAGTAGGTTCACATCTTTGTATATCGAGATTGAAAAAGAACGTATATGGTTGGAAGGGATATTTATTTATAATAGAGATAAAGATTATATTGGAAATTATAACTGAAATTTCACGCTTTTTTATGCACTATCAAGAGGTAGATGTTACAACCAACCAGTCGGCAAGAATGCCCTTTCTATGATTCCCAATAAAATTGCACAGTTTTTGAAACTAGAACATCCTGAAACATATACAGGCCATTCATTCCGAAGAACATCTGCAAGGTAACGGTAAAATCCTCTTACCTCCTTAAAAACAATGTATTAACTATTTACTATAGTGGGAGCAGATAAAAGTAGATTTATAAATTATTGTTGACAGTAAGGTTTTTTTTTCAGAAGCTTCCATATCGATATTTGCCGGAACTGATTGATGGCAGCTATAGGCCCATAGCTGATCATTCAATTTGTTCACAAAACTTGTACCTAAAAGAGAAGAGAGTCCATCTTGCGCACACTTCCACCATGACTACTAAATTCTCGTCCTAGAGATGTTCTTCAAAATCCATATGCTTTTTCTTTGCATTGACTTTTTATGGCTTCAGGAAAAAATCTTCAACGTCTTTAATCTCATGTTCATTCTAGAATACATGTTTATACTTACAAGGAAAAGCAAAGTTGGAGTTGTTGGAGAATCCTGAAAATCTGACTTTTTTATCTCCAATGGTGCTCCAAACTAGGTCCATACACACATCAGTTATGGACCAAGACCTTGCCAGTATCAGTAGAAGCATTTACGCTTTAAGTTGTTCATGATTGGAGAAAAATTTGTGCTGTCGTCTGGACA